CCAAGGTGGAGATTTGTGGGATATTGGATCGAACTCTAGTATGTTCGAAATACATGCTGTAGTCGAAGAAGGGTCTAGCATGTATTTGTCGAAGATGCTTATTAAATTAGGTTTTAGTGTTTAAACCCTAATTTGTTAAGTTAGCTTGTTTATTAAGTTAGCTTGTATAATGGGCCTTGTGGAAAAAGCCCATTAGTTAGTATGTTAGGTTTTATTATAAATAGCATACTAGTCTCTCATCATTGCAACACAGCAAATCCTAATTTAGGGTGAGAGGGTTATTTGTTATTCTTGTAAACTTGTAATCTTGTTTCCTAAGAGAAAGTAAAGAATAGCAGTTATAACCAAATTCTTGTGTTCTTCTTCTTCCTTGTTTGATATTCCTCCCTTAATTCTATACTTTGTTATTGGTATTGAATTCACAACACCTTCGTTACCTTGCTTATTTAGCCGAGGTATAACGCATGTCACGTCCGATGTTAAAAGAGATTTTTGTAGTAGTGGATGATAAATTATCATAACAATCATGACGATAAGCGACGATGATGAGGTAGACTTGACCAATAAATTGATGTTATTCTAATTAAACTAGAATTGAATGAATCGATTCCATGAAATACTTAGACCAATGAACCACGTTCTATATGTTAAAGAGCGTGAAATGAATTGTAACATACATGTAATTCGGTAAATAATGGTTTGTTTAAATTGGTTTTCAAGAATAGTTTAATTTTCAGATTATATACTTCTTCATCAATTTGAATTGTTGTATTTCTTTAGTGAGGTGTATGGAAAAACAAGCAATCTATATATTATATAATAAACTCTAGGTACTTTCCATAACGATTATCTATTGTAACCGTGATGAAATGTTATTTATATTTTAAATAAATTGTTGTTGCTGGATTTCGAACCGCGTACCTATATATATATATATATATATATATATATATATATATATATATATATATATATATATATATATATATATATATATATATATATATATATATATATATATATATATATATATATATATATATATATATATATATATATATATATATATATATATATATATATATATATATATATTCACAATGATTGATAAGCGTAACTGTCGTGATAGGTAGCACGCGTCCTGCCTTATTATCACGGTCTCACGACTGTGGTGAAAAACACCAGACATACAATCACACATTACCTTACAACAGTTGGTCATGCATTGTGGTATCCCTTTTCCAACCATTATAGTATGACTTTTCTCTAGTGGTGGGATATTGTGTTATATGTACTTTTTACAAAAATTTATAAGTTTTTTTGTGGCTTAGAAATGAAAAGTATTGTTTAGTACTAGATCCCTACTGAGATGGGAGTCGCTCACATGGGTGTGAGTTCAATTAGATCTGTGTGATTTTTTTAATAAGCAATGAATTCATTCAAAGGACCATAAAAGATACCCCACCCGGGAAACAATCGGAAAACCCCTACGTCATAAAAAAAAGGAGAGGTAGGATATTTCAAACATGAAAGTTATAAGAGTTTACAATTTTACAATAGGAGCATAACCATTTCCACGCGTTGACAACTGTCTCCAACATACTCTCGTCAAAGGTAAATGTCTCTCCCTTAAAGATGATCGCATTACGCTTCTACCAAACGCCTCAAGTCGTAGCTAACCAAATAACTGCAACAATAGATCTTTTAGATAAACTCTTCACCTTTTCACAATAGGCAAAGAAACTTTCAAATTCTGACAAGGTTAGCTCCACTATTGAACCAATCCACTCATAAAATTTTTTCCAAATTTTCGCCGCTATCGAGCAAAGCCCCAAAATATACTGTGAAGTTTCCTCCTCCGACGAGCACAACACATAAGATAAATCTCTATTTTTCATTAAAATACCCCTCTTAAACAATTGATCCTTAGTCATAATTCTATTAAAAATTATTCTCCAACCGAAAAGATGCAATTTTGATGGAACTTTTACCTTTCATAAATGGTTAATAGCGGTCATCACATCCGTCGGAAGAGGTAGGTCTGAGAGTTTCTCGCAGAACATATCAAAAAAGGATTTTATCTAGAAAATCCAATCATTTTCTCTATTCCACACAAATATGTCCGTCGTTTTCTCCTAACGGTTCATCTCCTGAACAGAAACGTTGAACTCCCATCATAAGCTAGCCGGAATATTGTTGTTGTTTTGTACCAGTTCGATTAACTACCAAGACCATCCCGCTTATGCCCAACTGCCCGCATCTTCCACACTAACATTGTCATCAATAGCTTGCGCAAATATTTTAGGGAAGGCATTCATCAAGGATTGATTTCCGATCCAACAAGCATACCAAAAAGGTATTCCCGTTTTGTTTCCCACACTACAATCAACTGCATGTGCAAAATGATTTCCCAAAAAATTGACATAATTATCATATGACAAAAGGTCCCTCCACCATATGGAATCCCTATTGTTCAACACACTTTTGTCAGCAATGGAAACTTTTAACTCTAGATTCACATATCTTATTTGTATAATACTGCTCCAAACCACATCCATCTCCTTCAAAATCCTCCATTTCCACTTATTTAATAACGCCACATTCAAAACCTCCACGTTTTTTACTCCAATATCACCTTTCTCACACAGGTTGCAAATATTTTTGCATATTTATTATGTGCTCCAGATTCAGTTTAGTATCAAGACTAGCAGTATCTACGAGTATCTGCAAATACTTTGACTCCCAAATCAATAATAGTTAGAGGTATAATGTATTTTAGGTTTGAAAAAGTGTGTATCTTAATTTGACGTATTACTCTTCTTATTATAGTTAAGTTTTAAGATTTCGAGGATCTAGAACTTTTTGGTATAGAATTGTAAATGAAAAAGACATATATCAAAATATTACATGTTGTATCATCTTATGGTCCACATTCAATCGTTTGCATTGATCAGATGTTTTCGTAGGACACGTCCATGGTTATTCTTAAAGTCCTAGAGCCTTTTTTGGATCCATAGTTGATGCTGTGACATCTTTAGCTTGATGTCGTCGGTTTGGCGTTACATTGACGAGCTTGTTCTAAATCAGATGGTCCTCAATCTTCCTAAAATAGCACCCTTATTAGCTACTAAGTATTTAGAAAGAGTGGCATATTTAGTAATATTGATGATAAAGATTATTAAATATTTTTAAAATTTTAAAACTCGAAAAGACAATTATATTTATAAAATTTTTATATATTTTTAATTTATTTTACTATTATAATTATGTATTTTGTAAATACTTATAATTTTTTTAATTAAAATATATAGATTATTTTTAAATCCTCATTAACAAAAATTTATGACCCTCACTAACTATATCACTTATTCACTTCAACTAAATGTTTGCACTTACTATTGTGTTGTATATGGATTAGACATCCTTTTTAAATTTATTATATAATAAATATATTTAGTCTATATATAAATCAAATACATTAATTATTCAATAAATTTAAAAAAAATAAAATTTACTTATAATATAAGACTGATTAGTACTATTTACCTTATATAATATCTTGTTTATTAAGAAAACATAGACATTAAACACTAACTTCAATAAAATAATTATAATAAAAAATAATAAATAAATGTAAAAAGAAAACAAATAAAATAACATTATATCTATTCCTATTAAGGCCATGTTTGGTAAGACATGATTATGAGTTTATAGCTTATAGTTTATAGTTTATAATTTATAATTTATAAGTTCATATGACAATTTAGACATGTTTGATAATAGTCTTTTCATTACGAGTTTATAGCTTATTTTGTTAATTTATAGCTTATTTTTCAGACACTATTTCAAATAGGACTTTAGCTTATAGCTTATAGCTTACTCCTTCTGTCCCATAATAAGTGACCTATTTAGAATAAAATAATGTTATAAAATGAATAACCCATTTCAATTTCTAATATACTTTTTCCAATTCTACCATCTAATTAATTAAAATTTCATCATTTCCAACACATTGATTAGGGGTACTATAGTAAAAATATTATTCTCTCATACTTTTCTATATTTTTTAAATATGTGTTAAATGGTGAATTGTGTCACTCATTGTGGGACGGAGGAAGTACTATTTTTTCTTCCTTTTTTATTCTTATTATTTTAACAAAAACTCACTTTTATCCTTTATAATTTATTTTAATTTAAAATAAAATTATCATGTATTATATATCTTTTATGCCATTTATATTTATAAGTTAGGTGAACCGCTAATTTTACCAAACACTTCAATTAACTTATCAGCTATCAGTCTCAATCATCAGCTATAAGTCATCAACCATTAACTATAAAGTATAAATTAGGTGAACCGCTAATTTTACCAAACACTTCAATTAACTTATCAGTCTCAACCATCAGATATAAGTCATCAACCATCAACTATAAAGTATAAGTTATCAGTTAAGTTATCAGTTAAGTTATCAGTCAACTGCTATTTTTACCAAGCAGACGCTAAGTACTGTATCTTTAAAAAATCGAGTATTTTAGATATTAGACGGAAAAAATTAAAAATCATAAAAGTGTTTTTATTCAAAAAAAAACACTGTCAATTTTTTGTAATAAAAATGTAAAGAACAAAGATTAAATAGAAAGGGATATATGTATATAATCAATGGCCATATTACTTTTATAATGTTCAGTCCAACTAACTATATATTTCATATTCAAGAGTATTTAAAGACTTCACAAATAAAAGAAAAAGGTATTTAAAGATGAAAGTGATATCATATGTATCTACACACCATACACTTTCCATCCAAATTTTATTACAATTAAATTTGTGCAAAACAGCAAAATGATGTTGACATTGAAGATAGAAAGAACAAAGGAGACATTAAAGTTTGAATTTTCTATATATCTTTACAAGAGAATGCAAAAGACGAAAATAGAAAACAGAAGTTATGTATATAAATTAAGAATATTTTTGAGGTATTTGGTTGTGGAAGTGAAAGATGGTAGGACCAGTAAGACCTCAAATTGTGCTGTTTGGTTCTTCCATTGTTCAACTTAGTTATAGTGATGAAGGTTGGGGTGCTATGCTTACCGACTTGTATTCTAGAAAGGTACAATTTTACTTATATATAAATATATCTCCATGTTGTTCTTGTTCATACTTTAAGATTTAAAATATGTAAATAAAATTTATTTCATTTTGGTTTTGTATGGTGACATAACATATGAAATGAAGATTTGTAGGTTTTTGTCATGATTTCCCAATTGTTTAAGCACTTATTTTCAATAGAGAAGTTGTTTTTGGGAAGTATGGAGTAGGAATATTTGTTGAGTTTGTTATCTTCAAGAACAGAACTGCATGCAATGGAACAGTTCTTTTTGGATTTAAAGAAAGAAAAAAAAAAACAGATTCTTTGAATATATGCAAATCTACAATAATAGAAGTCATGATGTTGAGAACTTTTAAGGTGGTGGTGGTCCTCTAATAGATATGGGTCATATGGCCATAAATTATGCACACAAATGAAATTTATTTTATAAGAAAAACGGTATTCAGCTTATGATCCGATTATTTGAGAAGATCAATCTCATCTCAACTTATAAATTAGCACTCTTAAATTTCAAATATCCGTCACTATCAAGCCAAAAAATCAGTCAATTTGTATTTATATATGTCATTTTGTGAATGATGCATTATGATGGTCAATGAGTTTAACTAATCGCGTATTAAACTTTACATAGGCAGATATAATTTTGAGAGGATATTGTGGTTGGAATTCAAGGCGTGCTTTGCAGGTTCTAGATACAATATTTCCCAAGGTAATTTGTTTTAAATGCATGTATTCACCATTTTCATAATAGGATTACTTCGATTATTTCTTCATACTTAAAGGAATCACCATTTTCTTTGACAACTTGAACTCAGAATGCAGTTGAGCAACCATCATTGGTTATTGTGTACTTTGGGGGTAATGATTCTATTCATCCACATACATCTGGCCTTGGTCCTCATGTACCCCTCGAAGAATACATTGAAAATATGCGGAAGATTATTCTTCATCTCAAGGTTGAATTTATAATCTATCACTTACTCTTTTTTTCTCTCTCTTGTCATGTTTATACCAACAATATTTCACTAGTTCTAATGGTCTCAGAGTCTCTCCAAGAAGACTCGCATAATATTGCTCGGCTCTCCTTCGGTCAACGAGGCACAAATTCACCAAAGTTTCAGGTTCTGATTGCAATGTATTCTGGTTTACTCACACTTATTACCTGATATTGTGTTTCAATCATAAAATTCTAATGAATAAATTATTGGTCATAAAACAGCAATGTGTTCGGGCCATTAAAGAGGACAAATGAAACAAGTAGACTATACTCAGAAGCATGTTTGAAGCTCTGCCATGAGATGAATGTCAAGGCCATTGACCTCTGGTCAGCACTTCAGCAAAGGGACGATTGGTCAGATGTTTGCTTTACGTAAGTATTGATTATGACGCGGTATCAACATTATTTGATCGCTTTTTTTTACAATATTAAGCATAAAAATGAAACCCAAACGACGATTTAATACTACAATCAAATATACCTGATGAAAAAGTTCAAACATGTTTCTGATACATCTGATCATGTGTTGTTTGATAGGGATGGAATTCATTTGTCGCGCGAGGGGAGCAAGATAGTTGTAAAAGAGATATTGAAAGTTCTCGAAGAATCGGATTGGGAACCAAATCTACACTGGAAATCAATGCCAAATGAATTTGCAGAAGATTCTCCATATGATCCTGTTGCCGTGGATGAAAAGACTACTGTAAACATCTCAAACTGGAGCTTCCATAAAAATTTTGAATGGGAAAAAGCTTTGTGCACTTCCAAACCATCAAATGGTCATCACATTGAAGAGTCAGCAGCCACAAAACAACATCAATAATTTCAATTAAGAAAATAAAGTGGGATGCTTCTATTATTTAGGATTTTATTTGATGTTATATTATTAAAATAAAATGTTATTGAATAATATGGTATGCAATCATAAACAGTCTTGTTTGAATGTGGTATATATATTTCAAATTTTCAATTACAGAATATGAAGAAGAATGTGCAACAAAAATCAAACAAAGGAATAATAGTTACAAGGGGTGAGGAAAGAATAGAAGACCTAAGTGTCAGCACAAGCTCTCACCTAATGACTACAAAGAGATGATGCTAAAAAGAGATGATATTAGCCTTACTTATAACTTTTAACACGACAAAGCTAGGCCAAATAACGACCCGATATGAGAAAGGCCAATCCAAAAGCGATGATGCTAAAAAGAATTTTCCAAATATCTGGATTGAATGGTGAAAAAGAACTGTTAACATCATAAGTTGAAAAAATAGCTGTAAATGTGATTAGGGATGGGAAGTGTGAAATTATACATTGGTCCTTATTTTTCTGTTATTCTGTTACAATGAGCTAGCTGCATTCTGTTATTCTGTTACAATGAGTTAGTTGCATTGTTGTGTATATATAGAACTGATTGTATACTTTTCTTTCTAAGCTGAATAATACAGTATAGCTTCATCTCTTCTTGTTTCTCTTTCTTTTTCTTTCTCCTCTAATGGAGGTTTATAGTTTCTAACATGGTATCAGAGCCATTCCGATCCAACCTTCTTTTTCCTTACGTGATTCTTACAATCGTTCTTGCGTGATCATCACTTTATCACTCTTTTTCTTTCCTTCTTTCTTGTCAATGGCACCACCACGCAACAACACTCCCATTGACCCTCAACTCGATCCTACAAGTCCGTATTTCGTTCACCCCAGTGATGGCCCAGCAACTGTCAAGGTTGTGCCACCTCTCACCGGCGGTAACTATCATTCTTGGGCACGCTCGATGCGTCGTGCTCTTGGCGCCAAGATGAAACTTGAATTCATCGATGGTTCAATTCCCATTCCTGAAGATTCATTCGATCCTTCAACCCGCGCATGGAACCGCTGCAACATGTTGATAATTTCATGGATTATCAACTCAGTTTCCGAATCGATAGCTCAGTCAATCGTTTACATGGAGAATGCGCTGGATGTTTGGAACGATTTGAAAGAACGCTTTTCACAAGGTGATTTGGTTCGTATTTCTGAACTCTATCAAGAAATTTACTCTTTAAAGCAAGAAAGTAAATCTGTAACAGAATTTTATTCTGAACTGAAAATTCTCTGGGAAGAATTGGAAATATACATGCCTTTACCACAGTGCACATGTCGTGTTCGATGCTCTTGTGCTGCCATGAGAGATGCTCGAAATCATCACAATTTGCTGTATATTATAAGATTCCTTACCGGCTTAAATGAGAATTTTGCAGTTGTTAAGTCACAAATCTTACTCATGGATCCTCTCCCTTCCATGAACAAGATCTTCTCTATGGTGCTTCAACATGAACGCCAAGGCAATTTTGCTATTTCAGAAGATTCTCAAGCCTTGATCAATGCTGTAGGATACAAGAAGTTCAGTGCTAAAGGTGGTACTTCAAATACAGCATCTAATGCTTCAAAGTCCAAGATTTGCACACATTGTGGCAGGACTGGTCACACAGTTGAAGTTTGCTATAGGAAACATGGGTTTCCACCTCATTTTGGCAAAGGTTCAACTGCAAATAATGCTAGTACAACTGAAGAACCAGATGACAATGGTGATCGTGCTTCAGCTTCACGTAATCAAGATGGACAGCTCCCCATAACTCAAGAACAATATGCCACACTTGTGAACCTTCTTCAACAATCTAACATTCAACAAGGTTCATCTACTGCTACCTCCAATCAAGTTTACTCATCGACAGTTACAGGTAACACATCTGTCAACATTCCAAGTAATCAACAAATTTCTGTTTATAAGTGTGCTGCAGTTCATTCTTGGATAATAGACTCAGGTGCCAGTGATCATATCTGCTCTAATCGAGCTTGGTTCCATAGTGTCAATTCTATAAAACCTATACATGTTAAGTTACCAAATGGTCAATTTGCCCTGGCCAAATTCATTGGTGTTGTTAAATTTTCTGATTGTTTTCATATTCCTGATGTTCTATATATCCCTGAATTTTCAGTCAATCTTATTTCTGTGCCCAAACTTTGTCAAACTAATCAATACAATGTCATTTTTCGTGCTTCTGATTGTTTTATCCAGGAAATTTCCTCCCTGAAGATGATTGGTTCAGCTGAAAAGATTGATGGATTGTATCATCTAATTCTATCATCCAAACCTGCTGTCTCTTCTAGTCTAAACAATGTATCTGTCACCATTCCTTGCAGTGCCTTATGGCATTTTAGACTTGGACACTTGTCCTCGACTAGATTAGAAAAACTGCATGCTTCCTTTCCTTTTATTGATGTAGACAAAAATAGCATTTGTGATGTTTGTCACTATGCTAAACACAAGAAATTACCTTTTAATAACAGTTTCAATCATGCTTCTCATTTATTTGATTTAGTGCATTTTGATGTTTGGGGTCCCTTGTCCACTAAGTCACACAATGGTCATTCATACTTTTTGACTGCTGTAGATGATTTTAGCAGGTTTACCTGGGTCATTTTGATGAAATCTAAGGCAGAGACCAGGCAGCATGTCATAAACTTTGTTAAGATGATTGAAACTCAATATCATTTAAATGTCAAATGCATTAGAAGTGACAATGGACCAGAATTTGCTATGTCCACATTCTATAATTCTAAGGGCATTATCCACCAAACAAGTTGTGTTGAAACTCCTCAACAAAATGGGAGGGTTGAAAGAAAACACCAAGACATCCTTAACATAGCTCGTGCCCTTCTATTCCAAGCTAATTTGCCCAAGAAATTTTGGTCATTTGCTGTTAATCATGCTGTTTTCATTATGAATCGTGTACCAACTAGAATTTTAAAACACAAATCACCTTATCAGTGTATGTTTGATAAGGATCCTGATTTGGAAAATCTGAAAACTTTTGGCACCCTAGCATATGCATCTACCCTGCAGGTACATCGTACTAAACTAGATCATAGGGCTAGGAAGTGTGTTTTCTTGGGTTACAAGCAAAATGTAAAAGGTGTCATGCTGCTTGACATTAACACACGTGAAACTTTTATATCTAGACATGTGACACATCATGATCACATCTTTCCACTTAAACCAAATTGGCAGTATCATACTCATGAAAATGTCAGTCTTGAGCCATCCACTGATATTTCATCTTTTGAGAACACCATTTCAGCACATGATGATTGTATCACAAACATTCCTGATGTAACTCCCTCACAATCAGATGAGCCTTCATCAGATGATACATTTGTTGATACATCAGTTGATACACCAGCTGATACATTAACCACCCTTGATATTCATAATAATGTTAGTGTCTCACCACCATCTATCAGACCCAATAGAGTCAAACACACACCTTCTCACCTCAAGGATTATGTGTGCAATTCATCAAATACTTTGGCTGCATCATTCACTTCAGGTATATCTTATCCTATTTCTTCTTTTCATTCTTTTGATTATCTGTCTTCAAATCACAAGTCTTTTAGTCTTTCTATTACTCATGATACTGAGCCTAAAGATTATGAGGAGGCTTGTAAGAATGAAAATTGGAAACTAGCTATGCAAACTGAGTTAGATGCTCTTGCACACAATGGCACTTGGGTCATGGTAGAACTTCCACCTCATGTTAAACCTATAGGAAGCAGATGGGTTTACAAAGTAAAACATAGAGCAGATGGATCTGTTGAAAGATATAAAGCAAGATTGGTTGCTAAAGGCTATAATCAAGTGGAAGGGTTAGATTTCTTTGACACTTTTTCACCTGTTGCAAAACTATCCACAGTGAGAGTACTCTTGGCCATTGCTTCTATTAATCATTGGCATTTACATCAGCTTGATGTGAACAATGCTTTCTTACATGGTGATCTAAATGAGGATGTGTATATGACTGTCCCACAAGGAATTACATGTTCCAAACCTAACCAAGTTTGCAAATTGCAGAAGAGCTTGTATGGTTTGAGGCAGGCAAGTCGGCAGTGGTATGAGAAACTTACTTCTTTGTTGTTGCAACTTGGGTACACTCAATCCACTGCAGATTATTCCATGTTCACCTTTACACACAAAAACGATTTCACAGTTTTGCTGGTCTATGTGGATGACATTATACTGGCAGGCACATCTCTCATAGAGTTTGATCGAATCAAGAACATTCTTGATGGTAAATTCAAAATCAAAGACCTAGGAACTTTGAAATATTTCCTTGGTTTAGAAGTTGCTCAGTCCAAGGAGGGAATCACTATATCTCAGAGGAAGTATTGTCTGGATTTACTCAAAGATTCAGGTCTCTTAGCATCAAAACCTGCCACCACTCCTCTTGACCCATCTTTAAAACTGCACCATGATGACAGTGAACCTCTTGAAGACATCACTGCATACAGACGACTGATAGGTAGACTAATATATCTAAACAATACCAGACCTGATATTACTTTGGCTACACAACAGTTAAGTCAGTTCCTTCATAAACCCACTCAGATTCATCATCAAGCTGCCTGCAGAATTGTAAGATACTTGAAAATGAGCCCTGGCCATGGTTTGTTCTTCCCAAGATCATCTAACTTACAAGTGTTAGGCTACACAGATGCAGATTGGGCTGGTTGCATAGACACTAGAAGATCGACCACTGGTTATTGTTTCTTTTTAGGTTCCTCTCTTGTATCTTGGAAAGCTAAGAAGCAACAAACAATTTCCAGAAGTTCCTCAGAAGCAGAGTATAGAGCACTTGGGACTGCAACATGTGAGCTGGTTTGGTTGATGTATGTTCTAAGAGATTTGCAAGTAACATGTGTCAAGCCACCTGTGTTGTATTGTGACAATCAAAGCGCAATTCATATTGCATCCAATCCTGTTTTCCATGAGAGAACAAAACACATAGAAA